CCTGCAAAGAGTCATTTTGCTTGATTCATGCATCTTTTAGTGCTCTTCATGAGTTTTGCTCCCTCCAGAAAGCAGCTAACCTAACCACACTATGCCTGCACTGTAATTAAATGCCCCCTTTCTGTGTTCATAGAGGGGGGATGTGATGCAAAGCGCCCTGATTACGCCTCCAAGTTTAGACAAAGTGGCTCTTTTAGTTGCTAACCTGCACAGGGCAGCAACCTTTCCTTTGTGAGCTAACTTCTATATTGTGAAAATCTGTTTTATGGTTGAGAGAAGTCTCTATATTCGTCAGCGTTTAGAAGTGGGGAATTGAACGGCGGCACCCAGGGGGGACAGGAGGCTTGGCTTTGAAGGACAGTGATCAGGATTGGAAGAAAACAACTACACTGCAAAAAATTGAAATCTAAATAGGTCAGTTTTGCTGAAAATAAGTGCATTTTCGATTGAATTGAGGAGGGAAATGAGACACTTTGGAAGAAAACAATTAACATTTAAAATAAGAAAAAACAATTAGTTTGTCTTATTTTGAGTGCATATTATCTAATTATCCTATCCTATTTTAAGATTGGCAAATCATCTTATTTACCTGCTCAAATTAAGGGTAAATACACTTAGTTTAGGGCATATTTACTTATTTCTGGATTGTTTTTACTGTGTATTTCCTAACTAATTAACAACCACATAGTTTTAAAGATGTATAAATTGTATATTTGCATTTTAAGTAATTTGAAAGGCTTAAAAAAAACAGGTTATGCAGAAGGACTTTAATGTCCAAAATCTGACCGGGAAATAAGTCTAAATGAGAAGAAAAACGGTGCAGTCTTTCCTCACACTCCCCCAGTGGTCTGTGGTTTGTTTAGTTGCTGGAAACAAGGAACCCAACATCGTTTGTTCTCAGAGCTGTCCAAGTAATATAAACTTGACCTGAGGCGTTTTTCAGGGTTTTTTTTTACCTGCAGAGCTTTGCTGCATGTCTTCCCCTTCCTTCTATTCCAATTTCCTGTCTGACTAAAAAAAAAAAAAAAAGCGCCCTAGAGCCTTGAAAAAATATGAAAAACACTAAAACATGTAAGTGTTTTTTGAAGGTTTAAAGCTGCAGGGATCAGGCGTCAGATGTGAGCGCGGTTTCCTTACATGACGTCGGGGCTGTTGGCTGTGGTGACGAGGACGTACAGCTCAAACACGATGTCCAGGTAGTTGGTGAAGTAGGGAGTTCCTTCGATGGTCGTCAGGCCTCTGCAGACAAGAACAACAAATACGCTCATGGGCGGTTCTAGACAGGGGCCAACGGGGGCCAGTGCCCCTATAGATCAGGTCCTGGCCCCTGGACCAAAGACATAACACTAAAAGAAATTCTAATGATGACACGGCTGGAACATGGTTACTGATTTCTTTTTCTTTTCTATTTAAAAAAATCTTTTTACTAATTATTTAAAAACAATAAGGTGATAGCTTCAGTGTTATTGAGATAGGATCCCAGTTTTCATCTGCTAAATTTCTTTTTTTTAAAGCAAATTTAAAAAGTGCTCTAATTTTTACAGCTGAATTTATAATTTTTTCTTGATTTCTAAGTCTGATTTTATGCAAAACTGTAATTTTAAATTAAATTAGGTTAAAAATATTTCAAATTACTAAATTATGAATGTATATTGACCTAATAATAGCTTTTTTTTTTTTTTTTTTTTTTGCTCTGCTAAGGGATTTTTATTTCAATAATCCAAATGACCATTTTGAAGCTAAAATTAAATATTTTTAGTTGGAAGACTTAATTGAAATTGAACTAAATTGAATGGAAATTTCACATCCTGCAGCTCTCCTGTTTCATGCTTTTCTGTGGCCCCATGAAAAACACGCTGGCCCCCTCCTGGCCCCCTGGTACATTTAGTCTAGAACCGCCACTGGTCTTCTATGGACATAAATGCTCCCTGAAAACATCAGCAAGTGAATTTTTGTTAAGTTTCATCAAAATGCTTTAAGATTTGGGAAAACAAACATTCAAAAAGTTTGTTCATCAGGGCTTTTGGATGATAAAGTTGAGGAATAATGCTTTGGCTGATAAGTTACATGGTACAATGCATAAGGAACACTTTATAGGAGGAGGAGTTTTAGAGACCCAAATCCAGATTCCCTTTAAGCTAAAAGCGTAATATGAGATCAGTATAAAAACATTGTTTTTCAACGAAGGGGGCGAAGTTAGAAATGATCATTAAAGAGAATCCTTGCGAACTCCTAAAGCTGAAGTGGATCAGGGATCCTATCAAATAAAATGCAATTCTTATGAAACTTTTGTTCCATGTTTGAAATTGAAAAAAGGGGATTTTGAGGCCTTGATTGACTTTAAGAGAATCTGACTCAAATGAGGTTCAGTTACTCTAAAATGATTGTTTATTTCCAATAAAACCTTCATCCTGGGAACAAAGACTTTAGAGTTTCTAAGAAAATACTTCAAAAAATTTCCCATTCTGATTAATCCAATATTCTTCAATATCAACATTGGGTTGGGCCATTTTTACTTAAATGTTTAATAAATAATTAGTTTCTTTTTTTCAATTTGACAGTAGTGGTGGCAGTAAAAAGCCCCCGAAAAAAAAAAAAAGTAATCATTGAAAATGTTGCTTTAAAGAACAGAATCGTACAGTTTTATACATAAAAAGTTAGTCTGCATTTATCATAATTCAATTTACTTTTGCCGCTTTAATGTAACTTTCAATAAATGTAAGAAATTTAATAAAAACATTTTAAAAATTGAAATACCTTTTATGTTTTGAAAAAAATGCAGGTCTTACCATTTAAAATTAATTCAAACTTTTATGACCATTAAAAAAAAAAAAAAA